TTTATTCAATTGTATTGTTTTTTCATAATCGGTCGGATATTTATCTGTTATCGTTATTAAATTTTTAATTATTTCTTATTATATATTGCGTATTAACTGTATATTGTGGCGGTAGAATGTATCATTCGCATACATACGTATGTGCGTAAATTTTACGGTTTTATTTTTATTTCTTTTTTTTTCCGATGTAATAAAATTTTTTTCATTATTTTAGATTACGCAAAAAATGTTCTTATACGTACTAACCAATGAAAATTTGTGTCATATATAGACTAATTGTTAGTCTACGTACTTACGTACAATAATGAGTGAATTTTTTCTTCAAAGACTGGCATAAAAGGGTTAAAATAACAATGTTCTCCATTTTCTATCTATAGCTGAGAAATAACACACCACTGCGCATTATCTTTTTATATATGCTGGTATGTTATGGTATGTTATGGTATATTATACAAGGTGTGACCAAATAGGCCTTTTTTTTTAAAGATACAGTTCTCAAAAATAACGCTCACCATAGATTTTTTCATAGTAATTTTTTGTTAAAATTAGGATTAAGGTTAGAAATTAGGGTAAGATTAGAAGTTAAATGTTAGGGCTAAAAATAAAGCTAGGGGAATGTATCAAATATATATTAACTATTTACCCAGTTTTTGAATAACACCCATAGACGTTATTTAGAAATTAAGCGAGTTATTTCGTGGCAATATGGTACGTAGCAACTGTGACGTTAAATACCACTGGTGTTATTTAATAAAGCCGTCTATAATAATTAATTATAGAGTCGAAAAATGGACTAACCAGACTAATTAAACCTATGAAATTATTCCTGAAGCAATGGCAACTAATTAGGTCATTTACTTTATGCTACTTTAATCTAGTGATTTTGAATTGAGTAATAACGTTAAAGTTATTCAGGATTCTAGCATCACCAATCTAAAAAAAAATTTTGCTACCGGCGTTAGGGTTAGGGTTTGGGTATACCTCTTGATTTTACGTTACACCCGATCTTGAATCTTAATCTGACCAGACAGTGAAATTTGATTTCTTAGGTTGGTGGGTTGACATAACTCACCCGTGGGTGACACGGATTGTACTTACCTCTAATTAAAACCTTTTATATACAGTATTTTATTATTATTATTATTAAAGAATTAACCTAGATTAACAGAACACTAGTCTTTTAAAAAGTTATATAATAGTTGTAAAGAAGTTTAAATTTATTGGTAATGTAGATATGTATGTAGAAATTTATCGATTTTGTATAGGAGGGTATTTTTATTACTAATAAGAATAATAATACAGAAAAACGTTTACTACAACGGTTAATACCATGTTCTTGTTCACCCGACCCTCTTAAGGAGCAATTACCTTAATTAGTCAGTCCTGCAAACATAGAACTAAAGTATTAGCCGAGATTGTAATCTTTAAAACCATCAAAAGAAGAAATAATTAAAAATTTAATAACGATAACAGATAAATATCCGACCGATTATGAAAAAACAATACAATTGAATAAA